TATCGTTATTTGTTCTTCGATATTACTTACTTCCTACGTGAACACATTTCTTTTTGATTATAACACTCATAGATTCTAGGACATTTGCTTTCGGTTCGTAGACTCATAGAATCCATTTCCAGTATTCGTTTTTGTTCGAAGTTGATTTGAGTTTATGATTGAATTTCGTTGTGATGATGAAACATAGTCATTAAAAAGTGTCCAACAACGACGTTGATTTCGATGCAAACAGAGAAATGGATTTCGCGATGGGATGGAGTCAATTCAATCTAACTCTGCTCGGCGTGTGGCCGGAACCAAGGTTAATCTCCCATCGTAAACGGCGAATATCGTCTTTCGTCTTCTGGTTCACGAGTATTGTCTCGTTTATGTTCATATGCGCGCCGCAGACCGCGCGACTGGTACTGAAATCGACGAATTTGGACGAGGTGATTGAGAATCTGTCGATCAACGTGCCCATTGCTTTCGCCCTGACGAAGCAACTTGTTTTACGATACCATAAGAAGGGTAACTGCAAGCGAATATTCGCCAATTCTTGCTCCCTCGTTTGTTAATTACCTCTCATAAACTAATTACTAATTAAGTATATTTTGAATAACATCATCTTATCTTTTTATTATCATTCTTATTATTACTACTTCATTATTATTACTAGCTTTACTACCAATTTTAGCTTCACGATTTTCAACTTATTTTCCAGGAAAGAAAAAATCTTTTCAGTTTCTGTCGCATTCATTATTTTGATAAATTATTATCGTTCCAGCCCTAACATTCTTGCTCGGTCAAATACTGGAAGACTGGTCCCGGCCTTTGCCAGAAGCGTATCGTCAGACGATGTTAAAAAGTGCCAGGAGAAGTCGAATGATATCCATCGCCTGTACCACGCTGGCGTGGATCATGCTTCTCGCGTTCCTCACGTTGCAAGTTTGGAACAACATGCAGAACTCTTCGGAGGCTGATTTGGAGGGCTTCTTGCATCCTGCCACGTTTCCTTATAATACGAAAAAAAGTCCCAATTTCGAACTTACTTGGCTGGGACAGTTTATAGGCACCGTGCTCGCCGCGATCGGTTATTCTTGTTTCGACACGTTCCTCGCAGTCCTCGTGCTGCATTTATGCGGACAGTTGTCCGTTCTTAGACTGGCCGTCACAAATTTGGTGAACACGAGCAACGAGACCAATTTTATGGAGTTCAAAGGGAGACTCGGGTACATCGTGTACAGACATAATCAATTGTACAGGTCTGCACCGATTATTTATGCTGGTATTAACACATTTGCGATCGGAAAATTGTTTGCTTTTCTAACAACTATTGCTGGTGGAAATCAAGGAAATCGTAAGCTAGTTGCCGTAGATGTTTGACGTTAAAACACGGACAAAAAGTGGGAAATTTGTTTTGGAATATTCGTTCATGTGACGATCTGCTGTTTGAAAGTTATTATGTTTGAAAGCACGTGAACTCACGCCAACGGTCGCGAATGCGTTAAGATGAAAGAGTTTGTAAATATTACTAATTCCAGAATTATTTTT